AAGAAACTGCAGATGTGACAGGAAGAGCAAGAGAATTAGAATTAAAAGTGGAACTTGACTTACTTCAATCTCATGATAAAACTGTAACGGATGAGGAGTTGATTCTTACAGAAGAGTAAAGAAAGTAATTTTTAAAAGTTTATTTATTTTTTAGAAATCTCTACACCCAACATGGGGCTCAAACTTACAACCCAGAGATCAAGAGTGGCATGCTTCTCCAACTGAGCCAGCCAGGTGCCCAAGAAAGTGATTTTTTTGCAATGGAATGTACTCCTGGTGAAGAGGCTGTGAAGATTGTTGAAATGACAACAACAGATTTAGAATATTACATAAATTTAGTTGATAAAGCAGCGGCAGGGTTTGAGAGGATTGAATCCAATTTTGAAAGAAGTTCTACTGTGGGTAAAATGCTACCAGACAGCATCACATGCTACAGAGAAATTATTCCTGAAAGGAAGAGTCAATAGATGATACAAACTTCACTCTTATTTTAAGAAATCACCCCAGCCACCCCAACCTTCAGCAACCACTACCTTAATCAGTCATAGGCATCGACATCAAGGCAAGACCTTCCACTGCTTGCTGAAAGCTCAGATGATGGTCAGCACTTTTTAGCAATAAAGTATTTTTTAATTAAGTTATATACATGGGTTTTTTTTTTTTAGACAGAATGCTATGGAACACTTAACAGACTACAGTATAGTGCAAGCATGGCTTTCATATGCACTGGAAAACCAAAAACTTCATTGACTCACTTTATTGTAGTGGTCTGGAACTGAACCACAATAGCTCCAAGATATGCCTGTATATACTTAGCTATAACCAAAACACATTTTATGCATGAATCAAAATTTGGCATCAGATCTGGGAAACTGTCAAGGGGAACCAGTGAGCAGTGAGTATGTGCCCAAACCATTGAAGCTCAAACGTGATTCTAAGATGGGCTGCTAAGCCCACCTTTGGAGCATATCATATTCTTCTGATTCCCTCTTCCTGCATAATTAATGAAGAGTTAACCACATCTTGGTTTTCTGTCCCAGGCCTTTGCATTTCAGTAGGAGTAAGTCACAGTAAGAACATTTGTCTGGGGGAAAAAATAAGGACCTGACCATGAGTACTGGAGGAGAGGTATTTGTTATAACCAGAGGCAGCTCCAGAATGTCAAGATAAAAGGAGCTCAGGGGCAGTGACCTGATTAGAAGTGGGGGCTAGGAACTTGTCCAAAACTGAATATACAAAGCAAGGACATGACTTTGATGGAGATTGTATGTATACCCTTACAGCAATAAAAAATAGGCTTTCTCCGAGCTTCATCCACTTAAAGTTGCAAAAACATCTATTGTCTTTCTCAAACAATGAGAAGTCCAGGAAAACCTGAAGGTAATATATATATATATTTTTTTTGGTGGGGGTTGCTGATGGGGATCTGTTAAAATAGGCTAGTAGAAGGTTGGGGCCTGGGAAGGGGAGCAGAGAGTGACAAGAGACAGATGGCTGGCCCCCAGACTCTACCATTTCCTAGCTGTGTGACCTTGAGTCACTCCATCCCTCCGAGCTTTGGCCTCTGCATATGACAAAGAGAGATACTGATAATTAAGCCACAAGTTTATTGTAGAGATGAAATGAAATAACACATATAAAGCCCTGTAGCAGATGTCGGTGTCCCACCTATGTCCCCTCGGGCCACCTTGGAGGTTACCTGTAGACAGGCTTACTTCTCTTACAGAACTCCATCTGTAAGCAAGTATAATAATGGCACCTACTTCATAGGGCTGTTAATGTAAAACTGTTAGGACAGTGCCTGGTTCTTAGCAAGTTTTCTACAAGAGTTAGTTTTTGTCGTCATCCCCCTGGGTTGTGTAGTACAGCATATTAATTGTCCTCCAGTATTCCCTCTTCTTTTAGTAATCAGAACCACTCCCAATGGCTCCCCAGCCTCCCTTTCAACAAGGTATGTCCATGCGCCTAAGGTCTAGCCAATGGGGTTGTGAGAAGTGATCAGGCAAGTTCTGTATCATATCCTTACAAAGAAGCTGCTTGGCCTCCATCTACCCTTTGCCCCCTTTGCCACGGTAGAGAGATATCGGGAACTGAAGTAGCTACCTTGGTATCAAAGACGGAAATCTCACATTGAGAATGGCAGAACCACACCACTGTGTACTTCTGGGCTGTTGTATGTGAGAGAAATGAGATCCCATTTTACTCCACTGTATTTTAGGGTCCCTTTTTTTCCAGCAGCATATCCTTACCTAACTAATCCAGCCCAGAGCCCAAAGATGAGATCAAGGGATGGGAGTTTTTTCCTTCTTTAATTCTTCGTTGTGCCTATCACACATCCGGCACTAGGCCAGGAACTGACATCACAGATGAGCAGGATGCAGACCAAACACCATGGAGCTCAAAGTGCAATGAGACGGAAGGATCTAAAGACAAAAATTTCAGCCTTCTGTGGTAAGTGTTGTGGAGGCAGAGAGGAGGGAGAAATTACTTCAGGTCCTAAAAGGTAAGGAAGAGTTTGTCAGGCCATAGAGGAGGGAGGGGGATGGTAATTGGGAGGCATTCCAGGGAGAGCTAACAGTATGTGAGAAATCATGAGACAGGGGGAATCATGGGCATTTGGGCAAAACAAGCTCTAGGCCCAACTTTACCATTCACTTGGTAGGTTCACTTTAACATCTGGGGTCTCCTTTTCCAAATCTGCAAAGTAGGATCAAAACTTCCATTCGGGCCACCTGGGTGGCTCAGCCAGTTAAGCGTCATCTGCCTTCGGCTCAGGTCAAGATCCTGGGGTCCTGGGATCGAGTCCCACGTAGGGCTCCCTGCTTAGCAGGGAGTCTGCTTCTCCCTCTCCGTCTGCCTTTTCCCCCACTTATGCTCTTGCTCGCTCTCTCTCAAATAAATAAATAAAATCTTAAAAACAAACAAACAAACAAACAACACTTCTGTTCTACTTTAGGCCTCAGGGTATGTGTATACAATTGTTCTTTAAAATAGCAAGAACAGAAACAAAAACAAACAAACAAGCAAACCAGGAAATCTATCTGTACATTAGTCAAACAAATTGGGGCACGCAATAGATTGTGGTGGACGGCTATGCTCAGTCTGTATGATTGGACTCTGGAGAGGAATCTGCCGCCCATTCAGGGTGACCCCACATCAGAAGGGCCTGGTGCATGTAATCTGTCAATGCTCAGCTGAGGTCTTTTGCTGGGAACTGCCCTTTACCAAGGGAGCCATCTCAACGAAGACTATAGAATACTGTATATACTTTAAAATCATTGATGCTTATCGCTGGGGGGTGCCAGTATGGCGTTTTCCTGCATTTCTGTGCATTTTCCAAGTTTTTGAGATGGACTGTATGTTACTATTCAGCTATATTTTCCAGGTCCCTTTCACCCTATCTCCTTGCTACTCCTTGAACGTGCCAGACACATTCTCTCCACCAGACATTTGCACTTGCCATTCCCTCTACCTAGAGCCCCCTGCCCCTGGACGCATGCAACCTCCTTCCTCATCACCTCCAGATCTTTGCTGAAACATCACCTCCTTGGTCAAGACTTCTCAGACCCACCCCATTTAAAACATAGCCCTGCCCCTCCCAACACACCCACCCCCCTTCCCTGCTTCATTTTTGTCCATAGCGCTTGTCCCCACCTGACAACTGTGTATTTCACCTCTTTACTTATTCATCGCCTGTCTTCACCCTTTAGAATGTAAACTCCATAAGAATCAGACCTTTGTCTGTTTGTTCACTGCTATATCCTCAGCACCTAGCATAGCTGAGTGCTGTTCTAAGATGTTCTAAGCACATAGTAGGTGCTAAACAAATAGTGGCTGAATGAAAGAATAAATATATGAAAAGGATCATTTCAGTGTCCTCTGAGCTCCTGTCAGGTCTTCCTTTGGGGGCAGGAGTGGGCACAGGGTGGGGCAGGAAGTAGGGAATAGCAGGAGCAGATGTTGAGAGAGCGTCGCAGGAAGAAGGAGGCTCTGGACAATGCCAACTGGTGCCAAACTCTAGCCCAGATATCAGGTTTACTATGACACTGGGGTCAGGTGGCAAAGGGCTTCCAATGTGTCATCCAGGTTGGGAGCAGCAATGTGGCCCCAGGGCAGAGGGACACAAACCAAGAAACCAACCTGACACACAAAACACCCAGATGTTGAGAACACTCAAAGAGACGTGAGACACAGTGGGTTACCAGCAGCAAGAAGGTGATCCTACCAGACTGAACTAGGGCTAATGAGTCCAAGTTACAACTCCTATTTTGGGTTGATACCAAGAGCTGTCCCCCATTCCTGCCTCGCCCCACCCCCACTCCCATGAGAGCTGTCCAACAAGGGCCAGAGCCCAGGATTCACTCATTCATCCCTGGCTTGGCCTTTCTGTCAGTACCTTCAACAGTTCTCTATTAAATGTGTTTACTCTGCCAGCTGCCGATCTCAGCGCTGTGAAAGCAATGGTGACCAAACATTTTCAAATAAATACATACATACACCATTATAAATTGTGAAGGCACAAAAGTGGGTTGTCAGAGAGAGGAAGGCCTTCCTCAAACAGGGGGTCGGGAGGCCTCTCTAGGACTCCCGAGATATTTGAGGGAGCCCTGAGCGGTGAGCAAGCCTCCAGGCTCTTATCAGCGGAGGGGCGTCCCCGCCGAGGGAACCTGAGGAGCATGAAGTGGCGCTCTAGAGCTGGTCGGGACCTCAGTGTACATCGGAGGAACACGCGGCCCAGAGACTGGGAATGATTTGCCCACAGACAGCAAGTCGGTGGAACCTTCGAAGGGTGGAGGGTCAGCCGAGGCCCCTTGCCACCTCCTGGAAGCCAGATAACCGCCTCGCAGCCAGACCCAAGAGCGGTGAGAGGCGGAGACCAGAAGCGAGAGGCGTGAGACTAAGGGCGGAGCGAGCTGCGGCCGGACCCCAGAGGGGTGGGAAAAAGGGGGCAGGGGCGGTCCCGATGACGTCATTTCCGGGGCCGGGGGTTTATAAATTCCTGCAGTACCAGAGCCCAGTGAAGAGAGGCTGGTGGGTGGACAGACAGACGGACGCAGCCTGGAAAGCTGAGACCTCCGCCCCCAATCCGCGCCAGCGCCGCCACAACCCGCCCCCAGGCCGCCCGTCCAGCCAGCCCTCGCCAGGGTGCCTGCCGTGCCCGGCCCCAGACCGCCAGCTGCTCGGCGCCTCGGGATCGCCATGCGCTCCGCCGCTGTCCTGGCGCTTCTGTTGTGCGCCGGGCAAGGTGAGCGAGCGCGGGGTCTCGTGGGAGAGAGTCCTCGGCGCCCCTGCCTGCCCTGAGGTCCAGGCCCCGCGCAGCGCCGCGCGCCCCTCGTCCCTCGTCCCTCCCCTCCCGCGCGGCGAGTTTTCAGCACCGCGGACAGCACCTCAGCCTCCCTGCTGACCCCGAACCCGCAGACCGGACTCTTTGGGCCTGACTTCTGACCCCGCGGGGCAGGACCCTCTGGCGCCCCCACCCCATATCTGGGCTCGACATCTCGACTGCATCTGGGCTAGTTCTGGCCCCGTGCCATGGCTGGCCAAGGTCACTGGGGGAGATGGGAGAACCCTTGCTGGCTCCCACTCTAGCCTCTCTTTCTCTTCTCTCCTCTTGCTCTCCCCATCTTTCCGCCCTTGGCTTCTATCTCTCCGTATCATCTCTCACAATCCTCCTCCTCCTCCTCCTCGTCTCTTTCCCCACACCTCTGGGGTCTCTCTTCCTCTCCCCGCTTCCTTCTCCACCCCAATCCCACTCAGTCGCTGGCCTTGTTTTCATAGCACTAGCCTTCAGCTCCCCGCCCCGCCCCCCCAGCAGGAGCTCTCCCAAAGGGAAGCGTTAGGGAGCTCAGTGCAGCCTCTGAGGACCATCCCCGTGGGGGCAGCCGCCAGGGAAGGGAAACAAAATCAACCCCAGCATCTCATTGGGTGGGGGCAGTTTTGAGGGGGGGGCACTGGGGTGAATGGGCCCCCTATAAACCCAAGCCAGGGAAAGACTGCGCTCGCCCCTCAGAGCAGAGGAGTCACCCCAGCACTCTCTTTTTCTTCCCAGTCATTGCCCTTCCTGTGAACAGCCCTGTGAATAAAGGAGACACTGAGGTAAGAAGGGGTACGGGGATGCCCCGGGATGGTGGGTAGGAGGCTCCAATGGACACCTCACAGCCAGGTTTTGGGTAGCTGCAGGAGTGAGTCTGGCATAAAGCCAAGAGCCAGCACTGCGGCTGCTGAGCCTGGGGACAGCTTGCAAAAGAAGATATCAAAGATTGCTAGATTTCCCTGCCATCCTGCTGTGGGGACTTCCCCAGCTTCCTCCGAGCTGGGTATGCTGCCGATGGGGCCTGTGCCTTAGCTACTGGGCCAAGGTGTCAGGCTATAGCCTTGAACGCTCCAAATCTGGCAGGCCCAGGCTGAGCTGCTGGGGTTGTGGGTTGCTTCCTGTGGTTGTGGGTTGTGGCTGCCACAGATCTGCAAGGACGGTCTTCACTTCTCTGGCTCTGGCCTCCCTCTTTGATCTTCCCCTCCTCCCAAGGCTCTGCTAGCAACCCCCACCCCCTAGGCACTCGAGCCCTCGATCTCCCAAAGGGTCACAATGAAAACACTCTTGATCACGGCTTCTATACCCAGGGTCCTGGCCATTTGGGGCTGATGGTGGATGTCCCTCAGGAAAGGGCCTTAGGAGATACTAGTGGGGGGCTCTGCAGCCAGCGAGACACTCTCTATTGGGTGTATACTTGGAATTCATTCATGTCTGGGCTGGGGCTGTTTTTCCAGTCTCTGGTGCTTGCAGATACCCCCACTTGCGACCCAGAGAAATTTCTACCCGTCACCTTCTCAGGAGCTGTTTTCTTCCATTCTGGAGAGGCTATGGTTCAACCCAAAACATCAAAGCAATTCCAACCTCTGTTTGCTCAATTATATTTCCTGTGTTTTACTTGCAGACAAGCCTGTATAGAAGTCTCTACCGCTCTTATACTGTGCGGTCTTAGTAAAATTCCTTAACTTCTCTGAGCTTCCCCTCTTCCCATCTACAGTATTTCCCTTGAGGGAAGTTGTGAGAGTAGGAATCATAGATGTAAGGCACCTGGCAAATAGCAGGTCCTCAGTTAATGGGCACCTTAGGGTTTCCCTTCAGAGCTCCTTATTATTATGGATAATAATAAGCACCCTAAGGTGCCCATTAACTGAGGACCTGCTATTTGCCAGGTGCCTTACATCTATGATTTATCCATATCCAGTTCCTCTCTCCCAAAATCTGTCCTCATGGACTGGTGGTTATCTGACATTCCCAGTGTAAGGTCCATGGATGCAGGGAGATGCAGGGTACAGGCTGCAGGGTTCTTCTTACCAGATCCTTTATGGGAGACACTTCGGTCCCCATACTCTACCCGGCAGCAGGGGTCGGGAGCACCATAACGTCTGGTGAAGACATAAATGTTCCATCCTACGATGCTGTGACTACTGCAGAGCCTGTTTGCCAGTTTGCCATCCTGAGTTTTTGGATGGGTTGCTTTGGCATCCCATCGACGCGGCCTGCCACCCCCTCAGTCCCCACCAGCATTGCCTGGTGCATGTCTGACACCTCCCGATTTCCTGTCCTGCTCTAGCAGCTGAAGCAGGTTGGAAGCTGTGAATCCCTCCCTTGGTGTGTGTGGCACTTCGCGCTTTGTAGAGTGTTTTCCCATCTGTTTCTGATCACCCTGGGAGGGGAGTTGGGAAAGTCTTCTCGCTCTCATTGTACAAATGAGCAAATTGAGGCTCAGAGAGGTCAAGTCATGTGTCCAAGGTCACTCAGCTAGGATACTGCACTGCAGTTGGCACAACCTTCAAAGATCCATTTATCAGCTGCCTGGTTATCCACAGCACCTTGCTGGGCACTGGACAAAACTTTCAGAGATCTGACTTCTGTTGGCCTGGGATGGACACCCAGATGTAGCTGATGGGTGCCCACATCCAGCCACAGGATTCATCCCATGGGGGAACACAGCCAAACCGTGAGGCTGTCACTCCCTGCATGTGACAACATCATGGGTTTTGGGAGACAGTGATCCAAGTCCTGTTTTCAGGCAGGGTAGAGCCAGGGAAGGTCTTTGTTCTCTGGGCCGTCCAGAAATACTTCCTGGAGATAGTTGACTTTGGGGGCATCTGCAAGACTAAAGTACTCCTGCAAGACATACCTCAACGCCCAGGAGTGGCTCGCCCATCTTTAGAGAACCACTTGGTACCTGGTACCAGGTACTCACCCCCACCATGTCCCACCTTAGAGGGGCAGCTGCTGGCCAGATGATTAGAGCACCTGGCAGGTGGCAAATACCATTCTATGATCGCTATTATTGTCTGGCTAAGAATGCAGAGCTGTGCCCCTGAGACAGGAATCCACGGGCTCCTGAAGACAAAAGGAAATGCCCCTATATTCTCATTAGAAATTTGCCCTGGAGTCTCGGGGGCTGAGCCCCATACACAAGCCAAGCCCAACCTGCCCCCACTCTCTCCCTAGGTGATGAAGTGCATCGTGGAGGTCATCTCTGACACGCTTTCCAAGCCCAGCCCCATGCCTGTCAGCCAGGAGTGTTTTGAGACACTCCGAGGAGGTACGGGCTAGGCTGGTGGGCGGGGGGGGCGGCTACTGTCTGTGGGGCCGGGAGGTGAGGATATGGGTGTGTGGCTTTGCGCAGAATCCAGTGATCAAGCACCTGCCCTGGCCAGGTCTGGGCTAGTGTCAGGGAGGTAGAGAGATGAGGGGGTCACAGCCCCGTGCTCCTGGAGCTTACAGACTAGCAGACGGAACAGATAGGAACACAGTTAACTAGAATTCTGGGCAGGATGAAACCAGGGCTGGAACAGCAAGCCACCTTGTCCACCCTGCGGACAGAGACGTTGTGTTGCTATATCCCCAGAGCCCAGGAAAGCTGCCGGTACCTGGCAGACAATCTATAGGCTTGTGATGACTAAAGGAGCGTCGTAGGTGGGCATGGCAAGGACAACGTGTTTCCAACCAAGCAGTCAAGCTTTGCCTAGCTGTTGGAGGGCTCCACCATTAGCACTGAGGTTGGACTTTCAGAGAAAAGTTGAAAATCAATAGAAAAAATCAAGAAAGGGTAGTCCAGGTGGAGTAGACCCTTGAGCAGACACGGAGATGGAAAAATGTGGGGCAGAGACACCCCTCCCTCTCCGGAGGGCCTGCCATCTCTCAGGTGAGGTCTGGGGGCCAGGCCGGCGGCTGACTTTCTGAGGCTGTAGGAAGCGTCGGCTCCTTGGGAAAGAGGCCACCTCCAAAGTGGTATCTCAAGACCTGATCTTGCAGCTGCTACCCAGGTTTTGAGTTTCCAAAATAAATTCCTTGTGCTCAGCTGAAAATATTGATGGTAATCTCTTTCTCGGCTCTTCTCTGGAAACCACCCATAACGACTCTCCTTCACTGCAGATGAGCGGATCCTCTCAATCCTGCGACATCAGAATTTGCTGAAAGAGCTCCAAGACCTTGCTCTCCAAGGTATTTTCCAGTCCCTGAATAGGAATCTGGGTAAATTCCAGTAATTGAGAGAAAACCAGGGTGGAAGTTTGAGCAAGGTCCTAGTTCTCTCTGATTTGGTTATTTCCTTGCAATTATAGAAAGGTGGGCTCCTCCCTGCCACCTGGTCCGATTTGTCATTGATACAGCTAAATAGATTAAGGCCCAGAGAGGTTGAGTGACTTGTCCAAGGTCACACAGTAAGTTAAGGACATGCCAAGACCAGATGCAGCTCGCCTAATACCCCGCCATCTCTAGCGATCAGTCATTTAGGTGGAGGCACTTTTAAGACTAGGTTGCAGAGAGGATCTCTTTCTTCTGTTAACTGAAGAGCAAACTGGTCCCCAGGAGAGGAGGAGCCCCTTTCCCCTTGTGAGCTTCTTCTCAAGGGGTAGATGGGGGAAGCAAGGTCTTGCTTGCCCCCAAAACACAGACCAGACTTCCAGCATGTTTTAGAATAAAATAGGTCTTTCTCTAAGAGATTAAGAAAATCCACTAATACTCTTGGGAATGGAGTGACTTTGTGAGGTAGTGAGCTCCTTGTCACTGAGGATATTCAAACAGAGCCTGGACAGGAGTCTGGGATGGAGTGTTAGGCTGATGTCATCCCACAGATGCCCACCCCCAGATTCCTTCGTGGATTCATGGGAGGCACAGAGACAGACTCCCTGGGGAGTTGGGAAAAAATGGGTTCTGGCCCTGCATACGCCCCACACTGATGCCCTGTGGGAAGCGGCTGCTTATCTGGGGGCAGGCCCCTGGCCCTGGGCCTCTCCCTGGGCACGGGCCCTCTGCCAGGAATCGCACATCGGCTTCCCAAGGAAGTGAGGGCCTGTCTTCAGGGCTGGGCTTCAGTCTTGGGTGGGGTGGGGTGGGAGGCACAAAAGCTGCTCCAGCTCGGGGGCGCCCCCACTCTGAGGCCCTTGGACAGACCAGGCCCCCTGTGAGAATGGGTGCTGGGAGTGTGAGGTGCGTGCCTGGCACAGAGTGGGTGCTGGCTGGGGCCATGACTATCACTGCCTGTCTTATTCATTTCATCTTCGTTGACCCTGGTGGGGGTTTTTTTAGCTAAACATTAAATATTTTATTGCAATATGATAATTTAAAAATTACATATTGAATGACTAATGTATTACATTTAAATAATTAAATACAGTGTCAACAGAAACTGTTATAGGAGGATGTGTCCTGAAATGTCCGCATACACACAGATGCGTGTGTATCCAATAGGAGCAGTTTTCAATACGCGACCATATTACTGTTTTCTATTAAAAGAGGATGGGACATAGCTATGTGTCTGTCTGTCCGTCCACCCACCCAGCCATCTGTCCACTCCCTCTTCTGCACTCTCAGAGCGACTTCTGCATACGTCTGTCTTAGCGCTTCCCAAGCAGCAATCCTGTCCTGTGGGTGAGCACCCTCAGCTCGGAGAGCTTGGGTTACCCAAGATCACATAGTGAAGAATGACCAGGAGGTGTGAGCCGAGGTCTGCTTGGGGTCAAGTCCGGGCAGGTGCCGCCGCGGCAGGTGCCTCTAGCCACCCCAGAAATTCCCAGCGTGGGGAAAACCGCAGCAGCGTCTGCAGAGTTGGCCTGGCTGAGAGGCCATCGTCTGGAACCAGGCACGGATGGGGACAGTCGGGGGAGGTAGCAGCAGTCCGGGGCCAGTGCAGGGAGAGGGATGCATGGATCACAGCAGCAGGTGGAGCTCAGGTACCTGCTGGACCTTCTCCCAAAGAGACTTACGGGGTCCAGGGGAGCAGGGCTTGCCTGGTTCAAGGTCCCCCATGAGGGGACAGATGAGCAGTCACCGTGATCTCCTGCTGCAGGGTCCCCCTAGCTACCAGCCAGGTGCAGAGGGCCCCCACTCTCTGCTCCCACCCCTGGGACCCTCTGCTGCGAGTCTCTGTTGCTGTCCAAGGCAGCAGATAAGGCTTGTTTGCATTTCCCAGGTGAGAAACGTGAGCATGGAGAGGTGCGGTGGCTGCCTGATGGGCCCCAGCTGGGAGAGGGCAGGGGCAGCCAGCAACCCCCCCGCAACCTGGAGCTCTTGCCCCCTTCGATGTCTTGTTCAGCAGGCTTGGAACATGACGTGCCCAGTTTACAGATAAGGAAATGGAGGCCTTCACGCTCACAAATATGCCAGGGCTGGGCTTGGCCAAATAGGACTTTCTCTCCTTTCCCTCCCTCCCTCCCTTCCTCCCTCCCTTCCTTCCTTTCCTTCCTTCCTTCCTTCCTTCCTTCCTTCCTTCCTTCCTTCCTTCCTTCTTCCCCCCCCACCCCTTTTCTCATACCAGGTGCCAAGGAGAGGGCACATCAGAAGAAACACAGCAGTTTTGAGGATGGACTCTCAGACGCTCTTGAGAAGCAGAATGACCAGGCGGAGCTGAAAGGTCAGTGCCGGCCAGTCTAGCCAGAGGCTGGGGAGCGAGGAGATAAGTAGTTACAAGATCAAAGATTCCTAGGGGTCAAGGAGCCCCTCCTTTAGGCACTGTAAGGTACCTAGCTATCATTTCGATCTTCCCTGTACAAATGGGGAAACTGAGGCCCAGAGAGATTTAAGTACCTTGTCCAAGATAAGCAGCATAACTAGAGATGGGAATCTGGGTCTATCTCACTACAGAGCCCTAGGGTGGTCCTGCCTACCCACCGCAGGGGCTCACACTCGGGGCAGGTTCAACGCTGGATCTTCCCAGAGGCCACTGCAGCAGAAACCCCCCACCCCCACTACGCAGCACCTGTCCTCCTGGGATTTGGTGGTGCCTCAGCAGAGTCTTGTTGTAGGAAGATCCCGGAAGAATAGGTCTCAAATACTAAATGAACCTGGATCATCTTTCTTGAAGCCAGAGAGCTTCTAAAGGTCAAAGAGATCATGGCTTAGGTAAGGGGATGCCCTAGTACTCATCCCCCTGCCTGGAAACAGCCACGAACTGCCCCCGCAGGGCCTGCTACTTGCGTGTGGAAGGTGGGTGGATAGGCCAGCTTCTAGGATCAGGGATCTCAGTGGACTTCCATCTGGGGCACCTGGAAGCTTTAATGGGAGAGGTAGCTATGCGTCAGCACAAAGAGCACCCTGTACTTGGCATTTGGAGACTTGGATTCAAGGCCCTGCTGCTTACAGGCTGTGAGCATGGACAGGTCACCTGACCTGCCTGAGGGTCAGGGAGAGCTTCTGTAGACAGGATGGGAACACTCTCACCCGGGGTCCTGGACAAACGGTGGAATGTACTTGATAGCACTTGGTCCAACAGTACTCATTCTAGGGTCAGGAGGGATTTTTACTGTGAAAAGGCAGCCACCAGAAAATGCTTTTTAATGAAACCGTACAAATAGGAATTGAGCACTTCCACAGGACACTCAAGCCCCACGTGGAGGAGAGAATGAAGTTGCAGTAATGGTGCCTCTTACACAGAGAGGTTAAGGTGCTTGCCCAAGCTCACACAGCAATTCAGCTGATGTCCTAATTTTCGATTCTGAGGTCACTTTCAAGGTGTTTTGTTTTGTTTTTTTTAAATCACTTCCTGCTTTAAGAAGTAGAATCCCAAAGAAAGAAACATAAGCCAGTTGTGCTCAGGTCAAACCCAGACACAGAGCAGGTGACACTAATTCTATCATGAGTATCATGGGCCAGACTGGATGGAAGCCTAAAGATACAATGACCAAGTTCTGAAATCAGGCTCTCAGGAGACCCCATGTGCAGCCTGGTCCTCAGGGCCTGACTGTTGTTTCCACAGAGGTGACGGGCGAGGCGTCCCCCAAGGATGCTGCGGAGAAAAGAGAGGATTCTAAAGACACAGAGAAGGGTGGAGACACAGATGGAGCCAGGCCCCAGGCCTCCCCGGAGCCTGGCCAGGGGTCCAAGGTCGAGGAGGACAGCCAGGCCCCGGGGGAGCAGGAGGTCGCCAACACCGACCCCCCAGACAACCTTCCCAGCCAGAAACACCCAGGCCCACAGGCCGAGGAGGACAGCAAGAGCCTCCCCCAGGGCCTGGTGGACAGAGAGAAGGGCGTGGGTGCGGAGCGAGGGCAGCAGGCCAAGCGAGAAGAGGAGGAGGAAGAGGAGGAGGCCACAGAGGCTGGAGAGAAGGCTGTCCTTGAAGAAGAAAGCCCCACCGAGGCATTTAACCCCCACCCAAGCCTTGGTTACAAGGAGATCCAGAGGGGTGAGAGTACGTATGATGTCTGCCACCTTAACAAGTGTGTCCAGGAAAGGGGGAGGGTGGGAAGGAGGACCACATCCACAGTTGCATCCCACCTTCACAACAACCCTGCAAGGTAGGTATTATCTCCATTTTCCAGATGGAAAAACTGAGGCTCAGAGAGGTTAAGTAATTTGCCCAAGGTCACACAGCTAATTTGTAGTAAAAGCTGAGATTCCAACCCAGGTTTGTCTGACTCCAAAACCCTGCATCTCCCACTATTCCTCATAGCCCCTCCCCTCCAACCCAGGAGACCGAGAGGGGCTTTGCGGGGTGGGTGGGCTTCAGGAACAGAGGGACGACGGCATGACAGGTGCAAACAGGCTGGTCTGGGGACAGTCTCAGCTTCACCCAGGGTTTAGGAGAGCCCCTGGCTCCTCATGAGGGCCTTGTCAGGGTCTTTCCTCCCTCCCCAGCTGGGTGGTTCCTGGGTCAGGGGCTTCTCGGGGAGAGAGGGCCCACAGAAGAGACAGGCTCCAGCCAACCCACCCCTCTGAGCTTGGAGGGTCTTGCAAAGCACGCTATCAAGATGGCTTTTTCCTCCAAGTGGAATCATGGACCCTAAGTGTGGTCTGTGGTCACAGCGATGGCCACAGAGAGGCTCCAGGGAGTGGCAGGGACCAGGAAAGCGGTGGTCCCTCCTTCATTCTCCCGCTCTTGTCCCAGTTCCTCCAGGTTGGTCCGAGGCTCTGGCTGTGGATGGAGCCGGGAAGACTGGGGCTGAGGAGGCTCAGCCCCCCGAGGGGAAGGGCGAGCGGGAGCACTCCCGGCAGGAGGAGGAGGAGATAGCCGAGGCCCCTCAAGGCCCCTTCCGGGGCGGGAAGAACAGGGAGCTAGAGCCGGAACAGGAGGAGGAACAGCTCTCCAAGGAGTGGGAGGAGGCCAAGCGATGGAGCAGGATGGACCAGCTGGCCAAGGAGCTGATGGCCAAGAAGCGGCTGGAGGGGGAGGACGAGGAGGATGACCCTGACCGCTCCATGAAGCTCTCCTTCCGGGCCCGGGCCTACGACTTCAGGGGCCCTGGGCTGCAGCTGCGCCGAGGCTGGAGGCCGTCCTCCCAGGAGGACAGCGTGGAGGCGGGCCTGCCCCTCCAGGTGCGCGGCTACCCCGAGGAGAAGAAGGAGGAGGAGGGCAGCGCCAACCGCAGACCAGAGGTTGGTATGGGGCGGGTGCCGGCCCCAGGCCAGGCCTCCAGGATGTGGGCCCAGCTAGACGTGCAGCCCCTGCCCCCATCGAGGGCACACAGTCAGATCCTGAGGGTCTGAGACCGGAGAAGCACACAGACGGGGGTGCTCTCGGGAGCAGGGCAGAGCTGGGGCAGGGGCAGGGGCAGGGGCAAGGGCGGGTCAGGGCAGGGGGGTGAGCGCAGCCTGGCTCACAGGCAGGCAGGAGAGGGAAATGTTCAGGACAGGTCATGGGAGCAGGAGAGGTAGGGAAGCCGATCCCTGGGGTCTCTGGGTCTCTGTCCCGGAGGTGATAGGCTCTGCAGGTTTGGGGGTGGAGCAAGAATGGAGCTGTGGACAGCGGGAGCTTGGAAAGGAAAGGACCTGGCAGGGTATGGTCTTGGGGGGGGGGTCCCACTGGCCCTGAGAGCCACGAGGGCCTGGGAGGAGGGGTTGTGAAAGAACAGGTGGCGTCCTGGGAAGCCCCAGCGAGCAGGTTGATCCAGCAGCATCCTATCCTGGCCTCCAGGCACACCCTCCTCCTAGGTTCAGACCCGGCCTCCCCCACCTGGGGCAGGGTCAGGACCAGCAGGACCTCGGTGCCTGGTGGTGAGTGGGTGAGGGAGGCACAGATGCACCAGAAGACCTGGGTTCTGCCTCTTCCTAGCTGTGTGACCTTGGGTGGGTTTCTGCCCTCCTCTGAGCCTCTTTGTTTCCCCCAATTGAGAAATAGGGGTAAAGAGTCCTTTCTGCTTACCTTATTATTATGGTCAGAACACACATGACCTTTCCAAAACCTGGCCATGTCCAGGGATACTTGGTTAGCTCAGTGGGGTGCTGGGACATAGCCCCAGAGGTGAGGAGGTGAAAGTTGGGGTCCCTGGGAGGCAGGCTGGCAAGAGCACCTTGGAGCTGGAGGAGGTCTTAGGGGTCTGTGGTCCAGGCCTCAGTGCCCAGATAGGAATCAGGGCCCCGCGGGGGCTGGGACCTCTCCATGGCCCCGGTGCTCTCTGCCCACCCGGAGAAGGATGTGGCCCCTTCCTCGGGTCCCAACCCTCCCTCCACGCTGGGACCAGTTCTTGGAAGCCTGAGAGGAAGAAGACTCCTGGGCAGCTGGAGCTAGGAGAGGTCATCTGTCAATGTCCCCAGGAGACCGCCCTCCAGCCCTAGCTTTGGACCAGGACAAGCCCGGGCACCTTTGATCACCCCCTCCCCCACCCACAGAGGCTGGAGAGAGCAAGATGCCCTGAGGTGTCTGCCAGCTTCCGTTCTCCACGGGCAGAGGGAGCCTGGACTGCAGGGCAGAGGAATGCGGGCCCCAGAGCCATGTGGACAGGACAGGGCAGGGGCCTCCTCCACCCCGCCGAGGGTCTTCTCAGAAATGCTCCAGCATCACAGAATTCATGCCCCCGGGGCTACTCCAAGACAGAAGGCTCTAGGGCCCCTATTTCCATGACAACCACGTCTGTCTGTTCCAAGTGGCCCCAATGGGTGTCCTCCACCACCTGGCATCCAGCAGGGACCCCGCAAAGACCACCCTCCCCAGGTCAAGACCGGGTGTGGGGGCATGGCCTTCCCTGACTCCTGCTGAGTCCCAGGGCATGGGCTTGTGGACATCAGTCCTGGCTCAGGGGGTCCTGGAAGCTTCCTGAGGCTGGGGCACAGAGCAGGACTCCCAGAAGGGTCCTCTGCCCTGAACCACCCTGGCAGCCAGAGCTGGGCCCCCCCTATGATGAGGACTAAGGAGCCAGGCCCAGCCCTCAGCAGGGAGAGGCAGGGCAGCTCTCACCCCCTCAAGCCTATGCCAAAGGCCCACGGCCCCTCAGGCAAGGAAGACTGTCCTCGCCCTCGGGGCCACTGTCACGGTCCAGGCCTTGGGAGAGGGGCCTGGGAGGAGCACTGGAGGGCAATGAGGCTTCGTTTTCCACGTGTCTGCCCAGAGCCGTTCAGGAGGAGGTGGGTCTGGATCTGAGGCCACCAGGGGTGGAGTGGGTTCAGGGCCCCTGGTCCCCCTCCATTTCTTGCACACAGTAACCCTCAGTAATCCCAGCAGGGCAGCGTCTCTGTCCCCATGGTATGAATGAAGGCCCTAAGGCTCAGAGAGGCAAAGCCACCTGAGACCACACAGCTAGCCAGCGGCACAACCAGTCTGGCAGACTGCACCGTCCACACGGCCGGCCCAGTCCCTGCAGGAGCCTTGATGTTCCTTCCTAGGACCAGGAGCTGGAGAGCCTGTCGGCCATCGAGGCGGAGCTGGAGAAGGTGGCCCACCAGCTGCAGGCGCTGCGGCGGGGCTGACACGCCGGCCGGCCCCCTCAGCCAGGGCCCCGAGGCAGCCAGTGGTCCTGGCTCTGTTGTCCCCTTTGCAGGCCCTGGCCAGACGGCCCGGGCGCTGCTTCTGAGAGGCTGCTCCCAGCCTGCCCAAGCCCAGGCCACCCTGTCGCCCCCTTGCTCCTTTCCTCCTGCTCTTGACTCCTGCCCTCGTGCGCCCCTCTGCAGGGCGGACCACCCCCCAGACTTTAAATGGTAATCTTTTTTCTCTGGACACAGGCAGCTTTCTAGAAGTTTCCTTCCCACCATCAGAGCCATTGGGCACAACTGCAATAACTTCTGACCTTTTGGTGAAAGCTGAGAACTCCTGACTGTAATATATTCTGTACAAAATTTATCTAAGGAAAAATAAATCTGCTCTGGGCTTTCTGGTTTCTTTGGATGTCTCCCCCCTTGACTCAGAGTGGAGTGGGGTGGGGTGGGTTCGGGCAAAGGGACAAGGGGAAGTTTATTTCCCTGGGGCAACTCCTTTCTGGGCTACTTTTTAGTCATGGAACTCAGGGTAAGTGACTTTGCATCTCTGGACATCAATTTCTTCATCTGGAAAATGGGGAGAATACGTATTATTTCCATCATCAGATGATGAGGAGGAGTCGAAGGGCCCGGGCAGCCTGGACCATAAAACCATTATGATGATGATACGAGTCCTTTGAAGGAAGGGTCCTGGCAGGTCCAGGCCTCGCCTATGAGGCTGCTGACGGGCTGCCCACCGTCACTAACCCTCCCGAGGCACGGAGGAACGCCCTCCAAAGCTGGTGCCGTAAGGCGTTTATTTCTTCACATGTTTCAAGGGTGCAGTCCATCCGTGACAATTACAGAAATAACACACACACCACCAAACTGTATTCCACGAGGCGGTCAGATACCAAAACATCCGCTACCATGACTAGTTAACAAAGAGAACATGGGGTCACCTTGTCCCCGAAATAACCCATCCCAAAGATGGCCACCTGTGGTGTCATAATCATGCGGAACACAGGGGCGCCTGGGGGGCTCAGTCGTTAAGCGTCTGCCTTCGGCTCAGGTCATGATCCCGGGGTCCTGGGATCGAGCCCCGCATCGGGCTCCCTGCTCGGCGGGGAGCCTGCTTCTCCCTCTCCCCCTGCCCCTCCCCCCACTCACGCTCCCTCTCTCTCTCTCTGAAAAATAAAATCTTTAAATAAAATCACGCAGAACACAAAGCCCAATCGAAAGAGCCAATGGACGTTTCCTGGCTGTTCCAGAAGCAGTGATTTTTATATACAGTCTGCGTACGCATAGAAACAGTGTGTGCTTGGATGTACACAATCAAGTACACGGCAGCTTGGGGGTCTGGTTAATGTTGTCGCCCGTGTGTGAATGGGGTCAGAGCGTCAGCACTTGTCACAAGGCACAAGTGTTACCAGAACTAGAACCACCAGACTTTGGGTAAAGTCACCATGGGAGAAGCTTTTTGAGGGAAAACAGATGTCGAAGACGTGTGATCCCACAGCCAGCCCTGGAGGAAGAGGTCAGCCAGGCTGTGGGGGACGAGACAGCCCTTCCGAGCCGTCGGGTCACGGATAAGCCTGGAAGTAAAGGGGAAATGCAACCGTTTCTGGAAAAGGCCCCTGGCGGTGTGGGCGGGGCAGGGCGGTCAGAACCAGAAGGAAGAGTGCCCAGGTCCAACCGCGCTGTCCTGTGAACAGTCTGTTTGGGGGGCAGGGGAAGTCGCTCCGAGATCACATTGGCGACGCCGCGCAGAGAGAAGGGGCAGAGGCCCAGGCCCTTCCTCGTGGAGGGCAGGACCAGCGGGAGCATCGCGGGTCTGGGGCCTCAGCCACATCACGTCAGACTCGGCAGGGCAGGGCAGGGCAGGGCAGGGCAGGGCGAGGTGTGCAGCATCAGGGCGTGGCCAGGCTGGCCGAGGAGGAAGGTCAAGGATCCGGGCACTTCTCCACCCCGCGGTAAGCCACGCGGAGGGGCTGTCGCCTTCAGGACAGCCAGCATGCAGCGCAAGGTCTCTGTAGCTCCAGGCCAGGGCCCGTGGAGGACGAGGGGCTGTCAGGGATGCCACAGGATGATCACTTTCTAGGGCACAGAGGAGAGGCCGATGCAGACCCCAGGGTCGCGAGTGAAGCCATTCGTCAGCTGTGTGGCCGGTGGCCGGTGTGAGTGCCCGAGCCGAGGACAAGCTTCTAGATTAGGACGAGGACACGCCGTCTCCCTCGGTCTCAGAGTGGCCACGTGGCAGGCAATGGCTAACCCCGCTGGCTGGAAAGCTCGTTTCTGGTGGGCCTTCAACCTTCCATGAGGCCCGCCGGGCAGGCTTCTGGGTAGAGAGGAACTCTTTGAAAGTTGCTCTCTCCGTTATTGATGGAGGCCCACTTAAAGGATGCACCGGAGAACCCCCTGGGGTTCCAGCTGGGTCTGCCTCCTCCCAGTGATGCCTCCTCCCAGGGCGGCTTCAGGCCCCGCCCACCATGTGCGGCAAACCAAGACACCTCCGTGAATGCCAACGGCAAGGGCGCTACCCCGGGACACTCCCCCGGGGCCCTCTGGAAGAGGTTAGATACCAAGAGCCTGCACTCAGTCGGGGCCTAATGTCTCTGGAATCGCAGCATTCTAGAATCAAAGCATCTGTAAGCAGAACTGAGCCCCAGGCCTCTGCTCCAGGCTGCCCAGGGCAGAGATCTTGCAAGTGACCCTCTGGACCTACCCAGGGCCTCAGCCAAAATGCTCCTGGAGCCCTTGACATCAGGAGTGCCTCCAGCAGCCCTGGCTGCTGACCGCCACCCAGACAGGTGCCGCAGGGCCACGGACCCCACCATGCCCACCACCCGGCAAAGAGACGCTTGGGAATTAGAGTCCTAACTGCCCTCCTGATTCTGGTGGGGCCGGCTCCAAGCGAAACACATGCACACCGCAGCAGACCCCGCCCCGGGGCCCTGATCCAGGGGCGGCAGCAGCAAGCCTCTGGGGAAGGGGCTGCTGAGGCGAGGTGCATTTTAGTGGGCCCTTCCCTGATGCAGACACCGCAGGGCCTGAGGGGAAATGAACTCTATGAGTGTCCCGGGATCCAGTGCCGTCGGTGTGCACCCAGCCAACACCGGAGTGGAGGTCGCTGGCTGGTGCCGCCTCCCCACCGACGGCCCCTCTCGTCTCTGCTCCTGAAACCCCTCGATCAGAATGGCCAGTGTTTGCTGGATGGTGATCACCAGCCGGGCCAGGAGTGGCCTGCTTGCTCCCACACTGGGCCTTCCCTCTCCCTGCACCTGCTGCTCCCAGGTCTTTAAGAGGTGAAAACCACCCCTGCTCGGTTTTGGCTCCCAGAGGCAGTAGTCACCCTGCTTGCCACCTGCATCGAGGCCAGTGGGGAACTGTTACTGGACCTGTGGGCCCTGGACCTGAGGGCCCTGGACCTGAGCACGTGTGACCCTGGGGGTGGACCTAAGTTACACAGGAACACGGTATGGCCAGGAGCCCCAGCCCAGCGTCGGGGGTCACCCGCACCCTCCCCCCACCTGTTTTGAGGCAGATCGGGATCGGAATTTCATTAACAGACCAGAACGACACAAGCTTTCAGCAACATTTGTGAACACGTGTGAAATGTAGTTTGATTTCAGTAGTTTATTTTGGAGACAAAGCAGTGCAAGAGGCCAGCCGCGCTTTCCTGCTTCCCCGGGGCTCAGGGTTGGACTAGGAAAGGCGCCGTACAGACATTATAATCGGGGTTCAACACTCAAGTCGTGTAAACGCGGTTAGTCGGTGGGCCCTCGGGTTCCAGGACAGCCGGGCAGTTCCAATGGCACCAGCCCTCACCCCAGGCCCAGCCCCGCTCGATGGCGGCCACCACCCAGCCCTTCCTTTCCGGAAGGTGGGCGACCCCCACGCCCCCGCTGAGCCAGGCCTGAAGTTCCCTCCGAGCACCCAGGTCAGCAGCCTCTCTGGGGCCACCCTCACTGGACCTTGCAGGGCAGCCCAGAGGCCCTTCCCGCTTTCTCAAAGTGAACGGATATCTGAAGACACAAGATCATGCTCAGGGGGTCCTATGCATCAAACCCAGGTTCACCTCGTCCCAGGGCTGACAAAGCCTCTCGCTGGCCCCCTTCTCTGTGGAGGGGCAGGTGGGCTGCCCGCTGCACTGTGGGAACGGACCGATCGGCTGGTGGGATCTGTTGCCATCAGGGGCCGGGGTGACGCTCATGGAGGAGGGGGTAACGGCTTCCTCCCCTCTGGGGATCAGCTCCCTTCACACTTGGCTGGCTTAGTGCTTAGGGCTTACAGTGAGTATGGGAGAAGGGTGGAGCGGGCCCGCTGGGTGGGTGTGAAAAGACGTGAAGCGTACAGGCAGCCGCCCCCTCCCGGGGAAGAGGGCCCCCGAGCGCCTCGATGCCAAGCGGAGGCGCAGCAGGTTGACTTCTCAGAGAAGCAGGCTGCACCGCAGGGGCTCGGGCATCAAGCCTGCCCTTCAGAGTGCTCTGGGCTCAACCACTCATCAGAGATGAGGACACAGAGGCCCAGCAACTCCGGGGGTGATTTGTCCAAAGTCACGGCACAAATCCTTGGCACAGGCGGGTCAGCCCGGGGGCTCCCAACCAGGCACTCTCCTCCTGGGTCCCGGGGAGCAGCACCTGGTCAGGGAGGGAGGCCCCCCTGCAGGGCTGCACGGGACCCATGCTGAAGGGCCTGGTGGACCCCAGGGAGCTGGACGTGGAAAGGGGAAGCCAACTCAAGGCCTTCCTTCTTCCCTTTTGTGGGCAGGCAACAGGTGGCCCACAGCCCAGACCCCCCGCATGGAATCCCCCAAGGAAACAGTAGGTGCACCTCTCACTCCCTCTGGCTCTTGCTCTTGGGAGGGACAACTGCACACCTGGTTGGGGCTTTAGGCCCCGTTCCGCACAAGGCTGTGGAAGCGGCCAGTCGGAGGGTGACAGCGAGGGGGCCCGGCCTAGGTGCAGAGGGCTTGGAGAAAAGAGAGAGAAGGAACCCCTCACTCGCTCTGCTCAGCCGTCAAAAGCCTGCCCCCCTCTGGGGTCACCGAGGCCTGATCCACAGCAGCCATCGAGACGAACAGACGTGGATGTGCACACACACTCACACACTCACTCACACACACACACACACACACACCACCTCACATTCAGAACTAGTGTTGAAGACACAGCAAGTGTAAACCCAGTGAAGACATCTGCACAGCAGGTATCAGGCGGGATGTCCATCTGCCCCGAGGCTGGACCACTTAGGGTTCTTTTCCATCTCCCCCTCCACCACCCCTTATTTCAATCATGACATCAGAAAATCAGGTTAAAAATTAAAAAAGAAGAAGAAGAAGGAGAAGAAGAAGAAGACGAAAAAGAAGAAGAATCAGATCGCTGGGAATTCTTAGTGGGAGCGTCACTGCTGGGAGGGGCTGACCCAGCAGGTGCACTCTGCGGCCCGCGCCGCCCTCTGGGTCCCGGGCTCCATGGCTACTGGGAGGAGGCCTTCGTGGCCAGCGAGGCCACGCAGTGCTGCTGGAAGCTGGGGGACACGGCGGCGGTGCAGCCGAGTCTCTGGTGCGGGAGCTTGGTGGTGCCGCCTGGGCCCACGCCGCCCGCGTCGGCCTCCGACGTCCAGGGGGGGTCCGGGCCCATCATGCTGCTGCAGCAGCCGGGGCCAGCGCTGCACGTCCGCTCGCCCGCCAGGCTGCCCGCCTGCTCCGCCAGGAGCCTGCTGTGCCTCAGGGGGGCCACGTCCCCCGCGGCTGCCGTGGCCGTGCTCTGGCCCTGCAGGACTGTGGCCACATGGTTCAGGAGGTCTGTGAAGAACTCGGTGACGCCCTCGTAGCCTGCGGGTGGGAAAGACAGACAGCACGGGGCGCTGAGCCAGGCTGCGGTGGAGACGGGCTGCAGGCGCGGGGCAGAGCGGGGCGCAGGCTGACCACAGGGCTCGCAGAACTCGAGGAGGGCACGCTCAGGATTTCAAGAAAACCGAGGCTCAGTAAGTAAGGGGACACACATCGAAGCCACCAAGCCTAGACTCAAAGTTGGGTGTGGGCGGCCCCAAAGGGCTAGTCCTTGAATTCAGCTGTCCCGAGGGTGTGAGAAGCTGTCACGCTCGGGACAGGCAGACGCCCTGCACCCTGTCCCTCTCACGCACAGCTTCAGTGTCTCGTGAACTCACCCACCCAGTGTGCTAAGATGCACGTGGGGAAGAGGAATGGCAGGGCGGGGCGGGGCGGGACCAAAGGCCCACTCCTCACGTTCTCAATCACAAACAGCCCTCTACTCCACGTGGCCCAGCCTCAGCTTCCTCCTGTGTAAACTGAGAGGTCTCGGTTTGGAGGCTGCTGTGGGCACGCCCGAGGGGACGCGGGATCGACAGTGGCCGCTCCTGGAACAGAGCCTGCTGCCTCCTCACCCCCAAAATACCCGCGGGGAGGCCCTCTGCACCACGTGCTCGGAGCATCAAAGCCAAAGGACGGAGACTGGGTGTCCCCAATGGGGCACTGCACCCCCACACCCGTGCCTCTAACAGAGCGGGGCCTGGGGCTGCCCACAGCCCACATTTATTTCCTAACACAGATACGAAGGCAAATGTCAGCAAACACGTCCTCGGGAGCTACCCACCGAGCCGTTTGTCATCTAGGGCAAGGATTCCGCTGACTCCCAAAAAACTGCTTTGGTAGAAATTCAATATGAGTGGGCGCCCTCCCCCCACGCTGAACCACCCTGGAGGCCGGAGGGCTGGGCACACAGCTCCAAGACCAGGACAGAGAGCGTGTGCCCGCCCCGGGAGGGGCTCCAGGCACTGCCGACCGCCCGCACGAACGTGGCCTCCATCAGCAACGTGAGGCCGGTGCTCAGAGGGTGCCAGGACCCTCGCACGTCCTCCAGGAGGGCCCTCACAGCTGCCAGCACAGCCTGGCTGGGAATGAGCCTCAGAAGTGAGCAGGGCGCAGCCCCTGTGACAGGAGAGCCCACGCGGGGCCAGGCGGCAGGGGCGGCCTCATTTGTCCACAATCTTACTTGCCCAGCAAACAACAGCTATGGCTTTGAGGCGCCCGAGGCTGAGGTGGGGGGAGCAGAAGTGCCCACAGCAACGGGTAAAACAGCTGATGAGCACCAATGTCATTCTTCACAACACTGTCCCCATTTTGCAGATGAGGAGACAGAGGCACAGAGAGTTAAGTGACGGGCCCCGTGGACAGGGGGACTGACACGGGCCCGTCAGTGAGGGTGTGGACACCCACAGCCGCTGTTCACCAGGCTCAGGAAGTGCCGGCCTCCGGGCCTCTTCACAGCCGCTGGGGAGGGGGACCCACGGATTCGCCTCGTTTTACGGAGGAGGACACAAGGCTCCCAAGTGACAGAGCCAGGACCTCAATCAGCGCTTTGGTGCCACCTGTGCCTTGACTATCCTGTGGTCCTGGGTGGCCCGCCGAGGCCTGGGGGAGGCCAGGGAGGATGGGCAGGGAGGCGCAGGTGCGCTGCTGGGATCCCGGGATAGAGATGCAGGCAGAGGGCGGAGGGCTGGAGAACAGTCGGGCTGTTCCCTCGGCGACCACTCTGCGGTCCCCAGAAGAGGCCCAGGGCAGGGCATGTGCGCTTCCTGGGGTAGTATGGAGACCCGAGGCTGAACTGGAGGCTAGCGGACGCCCCTGAGGTCATCCTGACCTGGCTAAAAGCCACACAGCCGGCGCCCCGATGCCTGGGGAGAGCAGACAGAGCGTGAACGAGCGCTGCGGGCCCCAGCTCGGGGCCGGGCACTGTGCCAACGTCCCCGCCTCTGTCTCTGCACGGTGGGAAGCTCTGTCCCCACGGGCAGAAGTGTCCACCTCCGTGGCTTGTCCCGTCACAGCCCGGAAGGGCAGGCCGGGATCTGAACCCTGGCCTTCGGCTGAGAGGCAGGAAGCCTTGTGGTCAGGAGGGCATGGTGCCGCTCCCAGCTCCACCACGTGGTAGCCACAGGACCGGGCTAGTCAGCCAGCCCGCCACCACGTTCCCTCGGCTGAAGGGAGATCTTAACAGCCCACTGCACGCTGTGCCGTGGTGTCGACAAAAGGGGGGGAAAGGGCTCTCAGAGCAGGCCTGGTGTGCTGCCAAGAGCTGCTGCTCTTACTACTTCCTGAGCCTGGCATGCAGCCCCCTCGACGGGGACGCTACTGCCCACCCAGGGCCCGACGTGGCCTCCCCTGGCATGCACTCCTCAGGACGGGCCCACGAGTGCTTGCCAACCAAGCCGGGAGAGGCCAGGGAGCAGCCATCTCCTGGGGAGACGCTCCCAGAGGCGTGCTCCCTCAGGCAGTCTCTGCTGGGCTCGGCCTCAGCCCTCCGGCTGCCTCAGACCCCACCTCCATGCCTGGCCCCACCTGGGTGGCCCTTCTCTGGGCTCCTCTGGGTAGAAGCCTCTCCGCCCACATTGGCTCACAGTCACTGTCCCTCCTCTGAGCACCCAGGATGCCCTCGTGATGCCCAGCCCAAACTGCACAGGCTGGGAGGGGGCCGGCTCAGGACCTTGCACAAAGCCATAGCTCAAGTGCAGAGCTCCATGCTCTCACCATCTCCCATCTCCATCTTTCTAGAACTTCTACCCTGACAGCCCTACATTACCCCCTCCTTGTCCCACCAATCCTCACACTTGGCCACCACTAACCGTGTCCTCCCTGCTTTAGATGCTCTCATTTATTTTCATTGTTTCCCCTGACACGCCCTGGATTCCCTTGGTCTCTCTCATTCCGTCACTTACTCATCAAAACCCCACCTCTGCCAACACCCAGGTCTCCATGCAGGCTACACACCCAGGGTGACTGGAGAAACACAGGCCATTGTCCCAACACTGGCCTCAGTGCCTCACTCTTACCTAGCTCAGAGTGAAACCCCACGTTCTCACCACGCCTCTGGCCTCCTTGTCCCAGCCCTTCCCAGAGGCCTTAGGGGGTAGCTCCTTCCCTTCCTCTGAGCCGTGATCACGCCGCACCCGCGTGTCTGGACCAGCTGGGACACACAGTAGGCCCTCGAGACTGAATGGCGGAAAGAGCCGGTGGTGTCCTCCCAGCCTCGGTTTCCGTGGCTGTGACTTGCGATGGTGGCTGGGCCTGGCTGCATGCTGAGTCAAGGGACACGCGTCAAGCACCCAGCCTGATGCCCAGGAGCTGCTCAGCCTGCGGTCGCACTCCATGCCCCATGCAAAAGGCCTTACCCTGCGCTCTGCACACACCCCCTGAGCACTCCATACATGCCACGCTTGGGCTCCCCCACGAGATGCTAACCTCCTTGAGGGTAGGAACCATTTCCTGAGCGTTTTTACACCCACTGAGCAACGACACCGACTTAACCTCCAGTGCAGCTACTCAATAAAGCTGAAAGTCAAAGCCAGCTGGGAGGGGGGACGAGCCAGGCTCGGGGCACTCCCACGCAAAGCGGGCTCATTCCACCAACGCCAACTGGGGACGTCATGGCCATCATCCCTGCAGGCTAACGGTCCCACTGAGGGTTCGCTGGGTGCTATCTCCCACCGAGCCCCTTGCTGCGTTGAGACGAGTGGAGCACGGCAGAGCCAGGCTGTGGCAGCAGCCCCGAGGGCCCTGGGACATGCGTCCTGCTCAGGGCTCTGGCAGACAGCAGGAAGCCAGCGCCGAGCAACGGGGAGCTGGCCGGCTCCAAGGCCTGTCCCCAGCACCACAGCTCAGGGCCCAGGCAGGAGCACGGCCCAGCCGCCAACCTGTCCTGCGACCTGGGATAATTTCTCCCTCCCTAGGAGACTCGGTTCCCCACAGGTAAGCTGTGGAGGGTGTACTTGCTCCGGAGTACTTTCAGCTCGTTAAATCCAGAAGGACCCAACAGATTAGCTGAGGTTTGGCCAACAAAGGCTAATGCTGCCGGCACGGGGTCAGGTGAGGAAGGTGAAGGGTATTTAGTGCGGGCCCACTAAGCGCCCTGTGCTCTCCCTGGCTGGATGCAGCGACCTCGTTTGCCAACTTCACCCCACGCTATAAACCCATTTTGCAGGTGGCGCTGAGGCCTAGCAGGACTGCACTGACCCCAGGGAGGTAGGGAGCTGGTCAACCCGACCCGCCTGCCCCATCACCCAAGGACACTGGTCTACAGACCGACGAAGGGGGTTCCTGGCTCCAACGCTCACCTGGGAAGGCGTTGATGTCGATGACCGCGTGCTGCCCGGTCTGGTTGTTGATGATGATGTCAATCCCGAAGAGTGACACACCCAGCGCCTGCCGAAGGGCCCGGGACAGCTCCCGGATGACCTCGTCGCTCGGCCGCTCGAACACGCCCTCGATCTTGTCCAGCTGTGTGCACACACACACACAGACACACAAACGGAAGTCAAGTCAGGCCATGGGTGGGGAGGCGCAACACCATACCACACACAGAGACCCTGCTCAGGTGCCCCAAAGCCTGGCCTTCCCCTCTGGAAGGGGGCAGGACAGACCCCTGGAGGGCAGCACTCACACGGCCACTCCCCAAGTCCCACCAGCTTCTGGGCAGGTACTAAGTGTCTAGTCCCTGTAACAACCCAGAAGGACGGCCCCACACTGCTGGTCTCCCGCTCTAGTCCCAGCCAGCCTGGGACAGGCACACGGACTCAAACTTGGGCCCTGGAAGGGTCGCCGAGGAAGGGGAACCTCGGGAGGGACTGCGGATCGGGGGATAGGGATTTGAATCCTAACAGTGACTTTCTACTAGCTCTGGGGTCCTAGGGAAAAGTACTCAGCCTCACTGTGCCTCAGTTTGCTCATGTGCAAAACAGGACCAACGAGGCCTCTCTCCTCTGCTGGTCACTGACGTGATGGGAACAGTATCGGCCTGGTCGGAAGGAGGTGCTACACCTGCATTTAGGGCAGGGAGGGCCCTGTGTTGCCTCTGAGTCCGTCAGGGGAAGGTTACAGGAGGTGCCCCATAAATACTGGACTCCTGAGTCCGGGGGGGCCGTGGGGCTCAGAAGCCAAAGGGGAAGAAGGGTGGTCGACCCATCAGAAATAAAAGTGAAGCTGGGCCAAAAACTGACACACAGAATTACCATGTGACCAGCAATTCCTCTCCTGGGTATGTACCCAACAGACTGAGAACAGGAACTATGCCAACGTTCACAGCAGTACTCACAACAGCTAAAGGTGGAAACAACCCAAATGTCCATCAACACACGGACAGACACACAAACTGTGCTTTCCACAGGATGAAACGTTATTCGGCTACACAATGGCACAGAGTGGGTGAACCCTCGAAACATCAGGCCAAGCGTAAGAAGCCAAACACGATAGGTCACGCACACTGTATAACACTGCTCATATGAAAGGTCCAGAACAGACAAGTTCATCAAGACGAAAAGCAGATGCGTGGTTACCAGGGGTTGAGAGGAAGAGGTTGCCAAGGGGTGACTGCTTAATGGGTACAGAGTTTTCTTCCGAGGTCGTGAAAATGTTTTGGAACATGATAGAAGGGGGTGATTGCACAAGGTGAACAGACTGAACGTCACTGAACTATTCACTTGAGAATGGCTATATTGTATCTTATGTGACTATCACTCAATCAAAAAAATAAAAATAAAAATAAAAATAAAGCTAAGTCAGGAGGGCTGAGGACAGAGCCCTGGGCACAAATGGCCCTTACCCCAGCACAGGTAGCTAGAACGGCCGCTGGGGAACCTGCAGACACATACAGAGCAAGGAGCCCACACCAGGGCACCATCAGCAGTCCGCTGTGAAAGCCACGCCCGCGGGCTCTGCGCAGTCGGCAGGGCCCCCGAGCCCACGACCCTGCTGCCTCGGCGTCCTAGCAGAGGAAACACCTCGTAAGGGGCAGTACCGGCCTGGCTGTGACAAGCCCTTGTCGCTGAGCACCTGCCCAAGCCTGGACCCGCCTCGAGGTCACTCTTGCCAGTCAGAGGCTCAGGCCACTGGACCTGTGGCCCGGGGTCCTCCCCAAGTCAGAGAGAGCCAGGCAGACGCCTTGGCACAGCCCACTGGCCCCTGCAGGCCCTGAGGCATCATGTACACTCCTGGGCCTTGTTTTCTCGCTCCAAGAAATGGGGTGATAAAATCACGTGCACCGCAGGACGTAGGAGCCAAGAGGCTTGCACCCAGGCGTGCTGGCGAAGGGGACTGACTCCAGCTGCTGTATTATCACCAAGTCTCCTAACACACTGCTCAGAAAAGCACCTTCTCAGCTCAGCTAAGGCATCTCAGAAATCCTTCTGCAGGTGTTCGATGATCTTAAACTAAATAGCCATCCTAGGACAAGATAAAGGCACAGAGATCCTGCCCCTGGGTTGTGAACATGAAGACAATGACGATGCTCTGGGAAATGGGGAGGCGATGGAGGAGGTCACTAACTCCCCGAATACCCTGACCAGCCTGCGGGGCAGGAGGGGGAAACAGAGGCTCAGTGAGGCAATGTGACTCCCAGGCCACACATCTGAAACCTGGTGGAGCTCGGGGCTGAGGCCACCTAGTCTCGTCAGGGTCCACACTCTTCACCACTACCCTAGGATAGCAGGGTGTGGGGGCCTGCAAGTTAGGTGTGGGAGTGGGGTTCACCTTCAGTGGCCTCCAGAGGGGGAGGAAGGCGGGGCTTCAAGGCCAGGCCAGGAGGCCCTGATGGGGACTGGAGGGACCCCTGGTGGGAGGGAGGAAGGCAGGAGGGGCTTACATCTCCCACAGAAAAGGGCATGGCTGAGCGCACTTCTCTTGTTCTGTTTTTTTAAAGATTTTATTTATTTGACAGAGAGAGACACAGCAGAGGGAGTGGGAGAGGGAGAAGCAGGCTTCCCGCTGAGCAGAGAGCCTGATGCGGGGCTCGATCCCAGGACCCTGGGATCATGACCTGAGGCGAAGGCAGACGCTTAACGACTGAGCCACCCAGGCGCCACCTCTCTTGTCTTGTTTTATGGGGTGTCAGTTCTGGGGGCTTCCTGAAGGGCAGTCAGGAGCTGGAGAGAAGGACGAAATGAGGGCGGACCCTACAGGTGGAGAGGAGGCCCAGAACTCTCTCGAAGCTTCTCAGCTTTCCTATTTCACAGATGAAGCAACAGGCTGAGCCGCAGACAGGTGATTATCTAAGAAGATTACCTGGGACCCTCTGGCATCAGTGAACAGCCCTAGGGGCTGCTAGAGCCACACAGGGACTGGCAGGGGCAGTGTCCCGGGAAGTCTGTGGAATGCCACCCTGCCCCCCCACAAAGTCACCAGCCAAACAAGGTCTGAGACCCTCTCAGGGAAGAAGCCCTGTGGAACTGGGTCAGTCTAAAGTCTCTGAAGGTTAGAAGACCAGCACCCCTTTGCTTGCACAAAACAGCTTTTTGTATCTTACGTGCACACAGCCAGGCACTGAGAGATTCTGGCTTAAAATCTGGTTGTTCTCGGGGTGCCTGGGTGGCTCAGTCATTAAGCGTCTGCCTTCAGCTCAGGTCATGATCCCAGGGTCCTGGAATCGAGCCCCGCATCGGGCTCCCTGCTCCGCGGGAAGCCTGCTTCTCCCT